TCACATATCTTCTGTATGTTTTATTACAGTATGTTTAAACACTGATCCCTACGGCCTAATTTCCTTCAGATTCGCTCCTCTATGTGGATGGAAAATAATATCCTTTTGCCTTCATTCAGAGTGTTCATAGAAGCACATGCTGTCCCTCTTCCTTTTTCTAGAGAGAGGACATTACCTCCATGAAAAGTGAAAGGAAAGACGACAGCTTTTCAAGAACTTAACGCTCTTTTAACCGCTGGCAGATATGTCTGTCTTCATCCCACAAATATTAAAGCTTCAAACAAAATGTCATGCAGAAAATATTGCTGCTGCATTTTAATTCGTAAATAAAATGCAGTTAAAGAACTTGGAGCTTTGTGTGTTGGAACACAATTGCCTCTAACAGCCAGGTTATCCTTATTGCTGATTTAAGACAATTGAGCATAGACCTCTTGCCGCCCCAAAATAAATGTGTATACATAATTTAAGTTTGAGCAGTTTTCCTGATATGTTCTTGTGACCCGGTTGTTTGTTTTGTAAACAACATCAGGCCAAACTTCCCAAGTGTTGACAATAAGTATAAGCATATTCATGATCTCCCCAAATATGCACATTTCTGCTTTGCAAGAGCTTTCCTCTAAAGCCGCTGTCAGGGCAAATATTATAATTTCATCCCCTCTACTAGTTTTAGTCCCAGAATTGCAAATGTGTGTGGTTGCCACAGTAACAAAAAGCAATACATCGTGTGCAGAGGATCTAACGAGGCTGCTCCAACTTTTTTAGATTCTGTTTTTATTTTGGTCACATTTTGTGCCATGTGCCAGGTGTAATATATGTACACTGTAGACTCTTCTGCATTTCCCTACAGGTATGAATAAAGGTTTATCTTATCTTAGAATGACCCAATGTGTTTATCTTTTACTAATGTGCACATCTCGTGGATATGTCTGCAAAAATATGAGGTGTGTGATTAACCTCTTGTCAAGTAGTTTTGTATTATTTTTGGAGCATTTTTGATTGAAAGCATTCTACTTTCTAAATGGATGCTTTAGCAGTCTATACTTTATGCAGTACATGTTTGAGTGGATTTAAGGACACACACACACACACACACATACCATGTATACATCACTTCAGGGGACATTACATTGACTTACATGCATTTCCGGGAGACTTATCCTAACCTTAACCATAACCAACACATGCCTAACCCTAACCCTTACCCTAACCCTAACCTTAACCATAACCAAGTCTTCACCCTAACATTAATGATTCCCCTTATGGGGACCTCCAATTTGTCCCCATAAGGGAGGCGAGTCCCCACACGTGACTGTGTAAACAGATTTAGTAATGCTAGGCCACACACACACACACACACACACACACACACACACACACACACACACACACACACACACACACACACACACACACACACACACACACACACACACACACACACTTATTGTGTTCACATACAGCAAGCTAGCAGATACTGTCTGGCAGCACCCAACAAAACACCTGCTGACCTTTACTTTTCTGTCTCTCAACTGACCTCCATCTGCTTCCTTTAGGTGACTGTGTGACAGTGAGTGTGTGTGTGTGTGTGTGTGTGTGTGTGTGTGTGTGTGTGTGTGTGTGTGTGTGTGTGTGTGTGAGTGTGTGTGTGTGTGTGTGGGTGTGTGTGTGTGTGTGTGTGTGTGTATGTGTGTGTGTGAAGTTTGGAAAAGGTTGACACACTGTGAATATGTGTGTGTCCATCCTGTGTGTGTATACGCTGCCTTGTAATGCCAGCTCAGTCATTAAAGTGGCGCTGCCACAGCAGATCTTGCCGCAGCAGAATGACTGCAGGTCCCCTCGAGTAAAACAATCTCGCCTCGGTATTCACATTGTTTCACCCAGCTGCTCCTCCAGCGACTCAGACTGAACAGGTGAATCCAGGTGAAACCTTCAATCCCATGGCAATTTCAACCATCAACACTGCTTCGGCCATGAAGGTTAGTTTTTGATGAGAGCAGTGATCCCTGCCATTTCCTGGCATTGGGCGCAAAACGAAAATAACCCCGGGATGCTGGTTTCATTGTGGCTTTCTATTTCAGCTATTCACAGAACATTGCAAACTTTAAAACAGTCCCCTCATATGGCTCCTGTGAGTTGTGTAAAATCTACAGTATATGTGCAAGTTGAACAAACTCCACCTCAGGCATTTACTGTAAGCATGGAGAAAATGACTTCACTCAAAAGCCAACTGCTTTGTTTTTTCTGACACTCTGTTACCTACAGCATGTGTTAAGCCATGGTGGCTATGGCAACCATCCACCTTTTTCTATACAGTATCCTCTTCACTCTTACTGTTGCTGCTTTACTGTAAAATAGCACAGGTCTATGCATCAGAGATAATATACCTGGAGATACCAACACTGTCAAACTATCCTTAAATACACATTTACATACACAAATGGGGCGAAGCCTGCGAGCTAGTTCAGGCAGTCAACTCGAGCACTTATGCTGCATTCATACCTAACGCCCCTTGCCACTCTACAACCAACCAAACAGAGTCTCCTTAACATGCCGCTCTATTTAACCTGCCAGATATCTCTCCATACATTGCTTGCTGCTGCTACTTCCACGTCGCTGCTGCTCGCCTGCACCACCACCCCACCACCACCCCACCACCACCCCAGCTTCCACCTGTAGGCTCGGGGGGGTTAGTTATTTAATCATCACTCATCGTGCTATGTATATCTGTGGAGTGATGAGGCCCGAGCCTAGACCTCAAACTCAACTATATGCTGCTTCTAATATACATGTTAAAGAAACACGTGAGTTGTCTGACTGAACTACATTGTTTTTACAAACAATGTGTAATAGTCACGTAAGTCAATAATCTAAAATACAAGCAGGCTTGAAATAAGTAGCAGCAATTAAAATAACAGACTGACTTGAGTCATGCTCTCTTTCTCTACTCCTTTCCAAGGAGGATTATTGCAATGTAAATTTGAATACATTTATCCACAGGTAAATATGTTAATTATACATATGTACATATTTCCCTCCGAGCTTAGAGAGGAGTGTGGGCTGGCAGGCTATGCACTATTCACCAGAGTAAGCAGCGAGGTTCTTATCAGGATTAAGGCAGCCAGGATGCAACGCATGGATTTAAAAATGTCTTTGATGTTGCATGAATGTATGAATCTTCTATTTGTGTGTTTTTATGTCTACTCTTTAGAAGCACCTGCTGTAAAATCAAAAATAAATCTATCACAATCCTTTAAACCTTTTTTTCTTTAGCCTTGGTTTTCAGATATAGCGAAATGTTGGCTCATGTCAGTGGAGAGGTATTGAAGTCCACACCTGCAAATGCAATATGTCTTAGATACCCATTTATGATCAGATGTAGCTCCAACACTCTACGTTGTATCTGTGGAAACATGTAACAGCTGCCAAGCCAAAAATAGATTCCCGCACTGTGCCATAGAGAAAGAGATTGTATGGCTATTTGCATACTGTATAAAAAGTACACAAAAAGAGAGACAAGTTGGACAAAAAAAGTGAAACAAGACCATGAAGAGAGAGGGGCTAAGAGAGAAAGAGAAAGATACACAAGGAAGGGGTGGAGAGAGAGGAAGAACATGGAGACTCGCCTCGGGTAAGGAACGAGCTTAGGGAGGTTTGTCATGCAATAATTATACAGCATTTACTTTGTTCAGAGCATTTGAGGATGCCTTTATGTTCACACAACACTTAATGTAGACAAATGGGGACTGACAATGCCAAATGTGACACGAGAGATCTGACACTGTCTTTACGGTGAATGTTGGGTTAGGGTTATGCAATAAAAGCTTTTTGGTTAAGGGCAAGGGAAGACCATAGATCTCCATGTTCATTGGCAGGTCTGAGACAGGCTTTCTGCCCAACAAACAGTCTTTGTTTCATTCACAAAGGTTATACCTGCCAGGAAAAAGGCTGTTTTGGAATTTAAACGACCCACAAAATACATTTTGGACAATTTTAGTAGCATGGCTCAACAAATTGCAATGTTGGTCCGTGCATAACTTTGGTTCAAACAGAAAGATCTCCTCAACTATTGGATGGATTACGATGGATTTGTATACTGATTATTTGTGTGCATTTTGTTATTCAGTTGCACTGTGTGTTTAGTGCTAATTAGCAAATAGTGCTATATGTACATGCTAGACTAAGGAGATGAACATGGTAAACATTATATATATTATTTGAGTCTCTTTGAGAAAAGTTGTTTTTCTATTTGTGTTTATTTCCATGATAACATTGGTCCCATGATCCTCTATTTCAATAGAGCCATAATACTTTCATGTCTCTTCTTCTTCTTCTCCTCAATGTCATTCCCTCATCTGCAGAGATGTAGCAAAACGTTTAAAAGTTGACCCACCATTGCACAGATGTTTTTTGTTCTCTCTGATTAGTCTGTCTCTTTCATTCCATGTCATCCAACGTAATTGGTTTCCTTCTTCTCCTCCAATCAGCATCCATCTATCCTCTACTAGATCCCATGGAAATGTTTAATTGTTCTGAAATGTCTACAGTGAGCCGGACTAAATGACTCAGCAGCCTTGTCATTAAGTCTTATTCCTTTTAGCTTCAGTTTCTTTGCAGTCATTCAAGGCCTTTTTTAAATGTCTTTTCACGGCAGCCAGACACATTCACAGTCTGGGTTTATTTTTCTTTGATAGCTCAAGGCTGTTCATAATTGAGCCTTTTAGAAAAGTCGGGATAAAAGCAACCCATTTTGTGAAAGTGTGAGTTTTTGGAAGAGGAAGACGTTTTTAGTCCACCACCACATGCAACACATTTATCAATGAAAGACTGAAAATGTGATGTCGCTGTGCTACCACAATTGAACTTGCTCTCTGCTCAGACCAGAGGTGTTCCTATGTGTGAGTTGTATTATAAAACATAGTATCTCTGTTAAAGAAATGTGACTTCAGAGGTTATACTCAATATGCTAACGTGTGCTTCTCATGTTTTCATCTGCTTTACAGAGCATGACAAGCACCGCCTATGCAAAAGTACTGAATACATGAATCTTCACTTCAAAGTCAAATGGTTCCATAACGAGTATGTTCGTGACCTGCCGGCCTTCAAGGGTGTTCCACCTGAGTATTCACTGTAAGTGTCCTCTCCTTTTCACACACATGATATAAATTAACATGCATACACATTTACATTACTGTACGCAAAGTATGGAGCTTTTAAGGTGAGACTGCAGCAATTATGTCAAAATAAATTAATATAGGTGACAACACCTAACATTTCCGTGTTGATTTCTGATACTAATATTGCTCATATTTACCAAAACAAAGGAAAATTAATCCTATTATCATTTATATAATGACAAAAGAAGGAACCCAAAGATTGATCTTTGCGGAACTCCATAGGAAACTGTTTTGTAGTGTAGCCTGAAAACATTCTCCATCCCAAATGACTTTTTTACGTTTATGTCAATTTGACAATATGTAGTTTTTCTTTAAATAATAATAATCCGTTTTTTGCACAGATTTGAATGCGCAGATGTTCCTTTTCATTAAGTATGATAGTCCAAATCTCCAGAACCTTGTTTAAGTCTGAAGTAGCAATGTTTTTTCTTTAATCTGAAATCCTTTTCTAGTATCACAGAACAATACAGCTTTATTTGTAAAACACTTTAAAACCTCCAGATGGTAGTGCTATAAAGAGAAATAAATAAATAAAATACAAAAATCACAGCTCAGCTCACCAACCATAAAATAAGTAAAACTACAGATACAGCCATATAGTAAAAACAATAGACCATTTAAGAGCAATAAAAGCAGCAATCTACATCACAGGAACCATTGACAGAACAATTATGTAATGGTCAACATTGCGAGTCCAATGCATGTAAGACAGTGAATCGTGGTAGTTGAAGCTTATCCTAAACTGTTTTGGATGAGGGGACACATGTATAGCCTAAAAGCATTTTTGCGTTCTTCTTTTTTCGTGTAGCACTGTGTTATAGTGTGCATACATAATCATGTGCTGCAAATAGCTGCACTGTGAACATGTGTAATGCAGGCAGTGAACGCAATGCCCTCTCCCATCCTGCCAGGCTATCAGAGTAATAATTCACCCTCCCCCTCTCCAACTCTGTCACTCAAACACCATCTCTAGCATGATTGATTCCTCCCCAGACATACACAACACACACACACACACACACACATAATTATATACACAACCGGTCTTTTTCTGCCTGTCTCACTTCCCTTTCTCAGTTGCCACACCCACCTTATTTATCGGCTCTCTCCTTCCTTTAGCATATGTCCTTAGCCAGAGTACAAAGCCGTTTTGGGGGGACATCCGCTGCTCTGAGGACAAGCTGCAGGCACTTTATTAAGCAAGGAAATGGCAAAGTGAAACAGACACAACAGCATTATTATTCCACAAACACATTGACTTCCTTACTCTGCTCATTCGGCCCGGCCTGTCGTGTCCTCTGCTGTCCTCTGTCTGAGCCTCACAGTCGAATCTCTCCACAAACTGAAACCTGATATCAATGCCTTCATGGGTAGAAGCCTTAGCCAAAACCACACTGAAATCTGTGAGGTTTTTGCAGAATATCTTAACTTGAAGTTGTTTTTTATTGATCTCTATTAAATACTTTAGTTCCCCTAGAATTGTTAAACAACAAAAACAAATCTTGTCATTTTTCTATAATAAACCCTGATTCATCTGGTGCTACCGAAAAATTAATTCAATGTTTAAAAAAACTATGATTTGACCCTTCAATTACAGAAAGTGTTTCTTTTCCAGGTGGTTTGAGCCGTTTGTCATTCAGTGGCTTGATGAGAATGAGGACGTTGCCATGGATTTCCTAAATGGCGCTCTGGAAAGGGACAAGAAAGATGGAGTATGAATACTTTTTTTATATTTAGCTTTATATGTAACCAACCAAGCCACTTAAGGCTGCTTTCTTATTCACAAGGACAGATGCTGAGACTGAATGTGTATACCTCTTGAGGGTTTGGGGGATTAAGGAAATGCTGCACAAGACAAGAATATGAATGACATTTAAATTACGAATTGATAAAAACAGGGGGAAAAACACTTTTTTCAGAGCAGTGAAAGGCACGAAAGGATATTAGGGAATAATAAAAGGAAAGCCTTATACAAATTTGGCACAGAAGTGATTTAAATAAATTGATGCATCTTCTATCTATGCACTTTACATACAGTATGTGATTTATATTACCTAGAAAGTCCTCTAAACAAAGTAAACATTTTAATTTAAACCAAGATTGTTTGTCAATCATACTGAATAAATGCAGAAATTCATACGGTTCCAGAGATAACTATATATCGATGTTAAACGGGTGTGAGTGTTAAATGTCATTATTGCACCTCAGCTGCTAATGACCATTCACACATAAAGGGTTAACATAACACCTTCTGGTATAATTGTCAGTAAGTGGTCTTCCCTGTGAGCGATGGATTTATACAGTAATTGATACAAATGGTCAAATGTTCTCTTCACTTTGCCTAATTGTTTCATTCAAAGGTTAACAAATCTGCTGTCTCTTTTCCTTCAGTTCCAGCAAACATCGGAGCACGCCCTCTTTTCCTGTTCGGTGGTGGACGTGTTCACGCAGCTAAACCAGAGCTTCGAGATCATCAAGAAGCTGGAGTGTCCGAACCCGCAGGCTCTGGCTCACTTCATGTGCCGATTTGCGAAGGTCAGAGTCTTTGGAAAGCCCCTCCTTCGTCCCCCTGTGAACCCTAAACATTCCTGTGGGGAGTAATAACAGTTAAATAGTTTGCCATTGATCTAAGAAGACTCAGTGATATATGTATTCGATTTGATCTTATCTTGTTATTAGGTTGTGACTGCCTACATCTTTTCAGTGTGTTCCAGAAATTCAATAAAAGAACGGCAAACAAACTGTAATTACGCAATTGTTTCTCTCCCTCCCTACAGACTATCAACAAAGTTCTTCTGCAATATGCTGCGATCATATCCAAGGACTTTCCTTTGCATTTAAACAAGGAGAACGTGGTAAGTGACCTGCCACAGAGTTAATAGCAATGGTTGAGTGTATTTTGTTGCAGTGCAAATATAGTTAGTCAGATAATAGTGTTTCCATGTTTGTCTCTGACCGTGGAGAAAGCTCCAGATTGCAGCCAACTCCCGCCTTTTGTAACAGACTTAATAAAGTGTCTCTATTAACCAAGATGCAATTATTTATGTCACAGCCGTTAGCTGATTGAGAAAAGTCCCTGGTATTTTTCTGGGTTCTCTGTCCATTGTTAATGTGATGGATGACTAAATGCAGAGCCTTCCGAGTGGCCTAATTATCCTCACTGGTCTTTGAAGTTCAACTGAGAGATAGCACGCAGGGTACTGGCGGAGGAGGCAGATGTTTCCTCACAGTGTTGACAGGCTCATTACAATTGTCTCCGAGAAAACCTGAAATGTCCCTCCTCGAGACAGGGTTGAGCAGACAGATGATGGAGAGAGACAAAAGGTAATGAGAGGCAGGTGGAGGTGGGATTATGTCAAGTTAAACCTTGTCAATCATTTGTTAGACTGGCACGTATATAGAACATGACCCAAATCCCAGAGCCATATTTACCAAGAATGTACTTTGTGGCTGTCTTTGCCCCAAAAACTGAAACATAGAGCGGTTTTATTATTAAAAATAATAACTTTTGTATTTATTCCATAAACCCCTCTTTTTCCGTTTTAGTCTATGTAGTCCCGAGTGATGTCACAGCAGCCTTTGGCAATTAACTAATACATAAAAATATGTTTATCTTCTCTCAAGCTAAACATATGTAGCTAAGGGATATCTCCTTTGTTTTTATTTAGATTTAGCATATTACCACTCTCCTATAGTATATGCTCATCAATCTAGTAAATGTGCTGCAGCTGAAACACTTTTGTCTGCTTTTTCGGTTTTCAAAAAACATCAATTATTGTTTTCCTGTGGGGCGCAGAATAATCCCTTTAGTACCATCATTACCACAATCATAATTTTGGGTTTGTCAGTTGTTTTTTGGGTAGATGATGTACATAATCTGTGCCTGACTGAAAACTCTGAAGAATGACTCCATAAAAAGCAGTGTGATTAATGTCCAACAGCTGTTTAACTTGTTTTGCAGCTGAGAATCAATAAAGCCTGACAAATTCGGTGTAGACATTTCGCTCCCTGTTGTATTATGTATTGTATTTCCCTGTTGACTGACTGTCAATGTTGTTTCAGAAATCTAATATCTTTGTAAAAAGTATTTGTCAGAAAATCTAAACTGATGGATTTTACGTTTTGTAACCTCCTGACAAAGTGTTGCAATTATAGGGTCTCAAGCTGACAAGTGTTACATTACAATAGCGGTTCAAAAAAGGAGAACTAGGCTTGTCTAGGATGTTTTTCTGACACATGTTGTTCGCTGTCCTTTAGGAGGCAATCTTGTTTTATTAATTCTTACACTCTTTCAGCCCTGCATCATCCTCAACAACATCCAGCAGCTCCGAGTCCAACTGGAGAAGATGTTCGAGTCCATGGGAGGCAAACAGGTCTGTGCCTAAGTGTGTATGTCTGCAGTGTCTTTGTCACATTTTGAGGAAATTCACTTTCATTTCAATTGATATTTTCTATTCTAACTTTAAAAAATATTAATTTCAAGGCAAAACAAATGCATTATTACAATGTAGTTCTTCAATGATCTGCATTCATCCACTGGAAGGTTAAAACACAAGGTTGGCTAAAGTGTCCTTTGGGCTTCAAAGGATTCAGTGTCTTTCTAAAGGACACTTCAGCAAGGTTACCGGTTCTTCTCGAGGTCTTAAGTCTACATCCTGGGATCAGCTCTCTGCTGTGGAATACATGCTGTGTCATGATAATGTAAATGATCATTTGTGATGACATTTATATGAAGTGAAAGTGAATTGACCCCTACAGTGAGTTGCTGTAATCCTTCCCTCCAATCTGTACTAAACCATTTGATAGACTAATCTGACATGTAGTTCAGTTGTCACCTTTTTCTACAGTTCCTAAATAACTCCCTCTGTACCCCATCACTGTTCCCCTACCTCACTCTAACCCCCCCCCCTCCTGTGTATAACATGTGTTGTAACTATTGAGTGAAACCCTATGAATCTGTGTGTTTGATGTGAATCACCCGTGACTGTGTTCCTGTCAGTCGAACCTGAGAAGGTGAAGCATGTGTCTCCAGTTTCTAATGCCTGTCTTGCCTTGCGTTTTGTCTCCCGTCGTTGTGTCTTCTGTTTCCCTCCCGTTTCCTTTCTGTGCTCTCTCTCTCTGTCTCCAGGAGGAGGGGGTTGTGTCCTTCTGTAAGGTGTGTGCAATAGGACTCTTCAACACCCCTTCCCACCATTTAGCGAATGATACGAATAAGCACGCCCCCTCCCCCCCTGTTCCTCCCTGCCACCCCTCACGCTCTTACGCTTTTCACCCCACTCCCCCAACCCCTCCAGCAGCATGTGCCACAGAGCATACGGAAACTGAATTACCCATCACCCCTCTGGACAGGCTGCTCAAGCTCACCATCCCCGGCACTCTGGGGATAGTGGCTCAACCCACCCGATGCCATCTTTATTTTTAGCTTGCTTTCTTTCCCGTTGTCCACTACTCTATTCATGGCTAATTTAGTAGAGCGATAGAGTTAGTTGTTCCCGATTTTTTTACACGACCCAAAAAAGGTAGTCAGAGATTCGCCAAGCTGCTGGTTGTGGTTTTGATCATCTCTCTATCCCATTCCCCGAGCTGCAGCTACAAAATGCTTCAAACCGTGTTTAATGAGCTTCTCAAACACTTACTAATCTCTCCAGCTGTGTCCTCGGTTGAAGTGGTGCCACCTCCACACAGTTAGCCATTTTAAACCTGGATCACTCCTGGCCCATTATTGTCTGAGAGTAATGACACCAAGTCTTAACATCCCTTCAAAAAGTTAAATTATATTCATTGTAAATGGGCAATCATGTATTTCTTTATACTCATTTTAAATAATTCCTCTTGAATACTAATCATACAGCCGAGGTGGATTAAAGGTAAAAGTTTGATATGAGTTTCCTCCTCTGCACAGTAGCCTATTCATTACAGAATAGTTCCCTATCAGCAATTAACTCCCAGAGCCAATGTAATTACCAAAAGCTGTTATCATCGCATTACCAATAACAAAGATTAGCAATAATCTCTTACAGTGCCCACATTTATGGACTGATTTCCCTAGATTGGTTTATTTTTGGTGTCAGCCTGTTTGCTAATGTGTTTTTCTCACTTAAAGAGATGTTGGTTTAATAAACCTTTATTTACTTGGCACTGTTCAGGAACAACTACAGTATGTCTCCGAATAACAACCTGCCAGCGAGTAGATATTGTATTGTTTGAACAGGCAAAGGGAAGCAAAGCTGGGCTGCTGTTGATAGGCTGTCAGCCAGCGCAGAGTTTGTGCACTCTGGAGGACTCTGGATGTCAGTCAGCATCGAGTGAAAGTAGCTTTGGAGGAGTCAGGTGCTCTATAGATTCTAAAATTGATGTTTTTCTCTTGCAGGAATACAAATAAAGTACTTTCTATAAATGCAAATTGAGAGCCAATTACCTTAGCCAATTACCTATTCGTAGTACCAAGTATACCTTACTATAAGTAGTAATCATTACATTATTCTCCACATTATACCAAATCGTTTTAGAAGATTTTATATTTTCGTCCTGAGAAATGCCTTACTTGGCAAGTCAGAGTACCTTTGGATGAAGGCTCTTCAGAGAGGATTGCAGTCTTCAGGTGGACATTTGATTCGAGCACCAGTCATTTCACAGTCAGTACAGAATATTCGTCTCTCGGTAGCTGACAGGTGGCCTGATTTATCCAAGAGCAGAGCGAATTTCCTGTAGCAGCCTGCCCATTTAGACAGTGACAATCACACAGTGTTCATGGGGAAAGAAATCTTAGTTTCAGAGACGGACAGGCTGCAGATTATAGCGCAGTCTTAAACTTTCCACAGACAAAGAGTAAATGATAAAAGACCAAGGCCTACAGTGTGTTTTGCTATCACCTGAAAATATGTTATCCGTTACTCAAACCGTAAAATCACAGCCCCAACATACATGGTCAATTTTCTCTGTGACAGGAAATCTTGCATGCTGCGATCTTTTCCACTGAGGTGACAGCAGTGTGATCGGTGCACATGCAAACACTAATAAATCAGTTTGTGCTTCAGATAGAGGCATGTCTGCAGAATAACAATATCTTTAAAAGGTTTAGTTTACACATCAGTTTCCCAGCTGAGCCATCCGCCATGATAACGTGCGAGATGAGCGGCTCCATGGCTAAGCTGATCGGTTCTAATATGACGATCTGTCATGCATGTGGTGCGGTGCCTGGCCTCACATCCATCTCAGGCACTGAGCCCCAGCAACGTGTGTTCTCCACCCCCATCCAAAACATTAATGTTTGGACATTTGGTCATGGTGAACATAATTCATAAGCCCTGAGACGAACAGTGTACACAGAAGCACTCATTCATGCAGTTACACACACACACACACACACACACACACACACACACACACACACACACACACACACACACACACACACACACACACACACACACACACACACACACACACACACACACACACACACACACACACACACACACACACACACACACACACACACACACAACAGCACTCAACACACAGCACAAATAGTGGATCTCCACTCATGCATTCTCTCAGAAATTGCCCAAAACCACAGAAGTACACAAACATTTGCACATCCATCACATGCATAGAGATAGTGCTGCAGAAACCCAACACATGCCATGCATGGACACATACATGCTGTCCATCAATTTTGCAAGTATATTTGTGTAAGTTGGTATGGAAAATTGTTCATTGCAAGGTCATGTCTAATCATAATTTGTATCATACTATGATTAATGTATGGTTAATGATGTTAAGGCAAATAGTTCATGGATTAGATGCTTTTACCACAATTTAACTACAGATAATTAAACACCAACACTCCTTAATATTAAACTAAATATTACAGAGTTGCTCACTCCTGGAGTTTATTGTGAAACACTTGCAGGAACAATTCCTGAACACAAAAGCTCAGTCAGAGGATTTCTGTATCAGAACTTCTGCAGATACAAGGATTTATGTTTATATAAGAGCCAGCTTAATATGACTAAGATGTTACAGTGTCCAGGGTGCCTGACAGCCTACTTTCTCGACTGTACCTTGTGTAGTAGTGCACACAAATATTCCCTTTTGAGAGACCACTAGCTGGCTGCCTTTTTGCTGACATCATGTCTTGTGACTCGGCAAGCACTCATCATTGCAGCGCTCGGAGGTGAGCCGGCCATTTGTATTCAGGGCATCTCTCGGCACAGATGGCAGGCAGAACGAGAGGGAGGCCACCAGCGAGGCAGGTTACCTCTCCTCTGTGCCTGTCGGCTCCCCCCTTAACACCCGGCACCCCCACCGCATTTGAGGCAGAGATTCAGAGCTCTAGTCAGCGTGAGCTAGTGTATGAAGTGTAATGATGTAGTAATTGTCCTTCTTTCTCCACAGCTGGATGCAGAGGCCAGTGATTTGCTGAAGGAGCTGCAGAATAAACTCAACACGGTGCTGGATGAGCTCAGCGGAGTGTTTGGCTCCAGGTGTGCATTAATGTGACTTAACATCTGTGTGTGTGTGTGTGTGTGTCTGTGTGTGTGTATGTTCGACTACACGACTGCTTAGTTATCAGCAATGAATATAATTGACTTGAACTCTTGCTGTGCACAATGCTTAATAAGCAAAAAAAGTTACAAAGCATTTTATCTTGTACAAAAAACGTCCTCTGCTTCTAACACCTTTTCAATAATATTTTAGGACCCACAAGAATGAGTTACGATCTCCTTAAAAAGTGCTCTCCAACAACAAAAACAAATGGATATTTAAAAACAGAAAGTGCTTCCTAAGACAATAAAAGCTGATAAATGAAGTACATGTTAAAACAATAACTCTTAAAACATATCAGTACATATCAAACATAAACGTAACATGTATCTACAAATACATACACACAAACAGACAAACACAGACATTGTATGTATGGTATATACATGTAACGTATATGCTGTATACCCATTCACACATGTTGTAATAATAACTGCATGTATACGCATTGACATACAGTTTAGAAGTCCAAACCAGGAATGAACTTCTGCTGCAGTGTTTAATATTAAACCAGTAGCAAAAGATTTCAAGGATAGTTTTTTTTCCATCCTGCAGTTTCCAAGGTGTGATAGAGGACTGTGTGAAGCAGATGAACCAGGAACTGGTTCTGATGAAAGGGCCGGCCAAAGGGAGCAACGCTGCCATGGATGCAGAGACCGTCCTCAGACCTCTTATGGACCTCCTGGATAAAAAGTGAGTATAAACTATATTATGTTTCTAGCTGTTTTGTTACTGTTGTCTTAAGTCTGTGCAACCCTCTTTTGTAAAATAATTTAAAGTCATGAATTCAGTTAATAGGCTCAGCCATCCGTTGCCATGAAGGTTGAGAGCTTTGGCCTTGAAGTGATGTTTAATAATTATTCACCTCAAGATGTGTGAAAGGAAGGAGTGTGGATGGTTTTGCTCAAACCTTTAAAAGTGACGTGGCCAGTGAGCGAACAACAGCTGTCTTGTATCTATTATTTTTGCAAATGAATGTTATCACTTTACTGTTATACTCCTATGTTAGTCTCTTTGCACTCAAAACGTTCCTGCTGCTTGTTATAGCGCCTGAGAAAACAATGTTTCTTTAAGGAAAACCTACATCCCTGCCTCTTATTCAAACTGGCTGGTCTCAAAGTTTAATTGGATTAAATTCTATGCAAAAAATAGTTAAGTATACCATCCGAGAATGTGTCTTTCAACATTTGTCATTTAAGTGCATGGAAAGAACGATGATTAATCCATCCTCACCCACGCAATTGTCAGACAAATGTTAAGGCTACGCTTGGTTCCCTCTCAGCTAAACAATGTTAGCTCTGTGAACACTGTTGCTTTTGTTTCAATTATGTTTGATGTTAGCATAGTAAGCTGCTAGTTGTAAATTATATGCAATCAATCAATCAATCAATCAATGTTTATTTAAATAGCCCAATATCACAAATGTTACATTTGTCTCAGTGGACTTCACAGTTTGTACAGAATATCAGTATGACAATACGACACCCTCTGTCCTTAGACCCTCACACCGTACAAGGAAAAACTTCCGGATAAAACCCACAGTTTTAAAGGGAAAAATGGGAGAAACCTCAGGGAGAGCAACAGAGGAGGGATCCCTCTCCCAGGACGGACGGACAGACGTGCAATAGATGCCGTGTGTAAATTGAAAAGATAATACATTTGCAACATAGGTAGTCCAAATGTTTGGAAATGCATGTGTGTATACAGTAATAGGAAGATGAATCCACGAGGATATCCGTCCAGGACTTATGATCCAGGACCACAGCCACGACTCAAGATCCAGGGCTCGCGATGCAGGACACAGGACCGCAGGATCATCCATGACTCCGGATCCCGGTGTATATAGACACCAAAAAGAATGACATTTGGGGAAGCTGGGTTAATCGGAACATGAGAGTACACAGGTATAGACAGAGAGAAGGAAGAAGTAAGATGTCCCCCGACAAACTAAGCCTATATCAGCAAAACTAGGGGCTGAATCTAATCAGCCCTAACTATAAGCTTTATCAAAAAGGAAGGTCTTAAGCGCACTCATAAAAATGGATAGGCTGTCTGCCGCCCGAACACAAACTGGAAGCTGATTCCACAAATGTGGAGCTTGATAAGAAAAGGCTCTGGCTCCCATTGTACTTTTAGAGACTCTAGGAACAACCAACAACCCTGCATTCTTGGAACGCAATGCCCTAATAGGACCGTAGGGTATAATGAGTTCTTTAAGGTAAGATGGCGCCTGCCCATTAAGGGCTTTGTAGGCGAGAAGAAGAATTTTAAATGCTATCCTGTGTTCTATAGGGAGCCAGTGTAAGGCAGCCAGAACAGGAGTAATGTGGTCCCTTTTCTTAACTCTGGTTAGTACACGAGCTGCAGCATTTTGAATCAGCTGAAGCGACTTGACTGACTTCTTGGTACACCCTGATAATAAAGAGTTACAATAATCCAGCCTTGAAGTAACAAATGCATGGACTAGTTTCTCTGCATCGTTTTGAGGCAAGATATGCCTGATTTTTGCAATGTTACGTAGATGGAAGTAGGCGGTCCTTGAAATTAATTTGATGTGGGCGTTAAAGGATAAATCCTGATCAAATATAACACCAAGATTCCTTACAGTCTCACTGGAGGCCAAATGAATGCCATCCATAGTTAGTATATCTTTAGATAATTTGTTTCGTAGATTCTTCGGGCCAAGTACAATAACTTTTGGTCGTGTTTAACATCAAAACATTTAAGGTCATCCACGTTTTTAAGTCCTTGAGGCAGTCTTGAATTTTATTTAGATGATTAATTTCATCAGGCTTGATTGATAAATATAGTTGAGTATCATCCGCATAACAATGAAAGTTTACAGAATGATTCCTTATAATATTGCCTAACGGAAGCATATATAATGTGAACAAAATAGGTCCGAGCACTGAGCCCTGTGGCACTCCATGGTTAACTTTGGTTTGCGTGGAAGATTCATCATTGACACGTACAAACTGAGAGCGTTCAGCTAGATAGGACCTTAACCAGTCTAAAGCAGTTCCCTGTATGCCAACTAAGTGCTCTCGTCTTTGCAATAAGATATCATGATCGATAGTATCAAATGCAGCACTGAGATCGAGCAAAACAAGAATAGAGACAAGTCCCTTGTCAGAGGCTATAATGTTACACTATATGCAAGTGTCCTGCATCATTGATATGCCCTCAATTCAATATTAAGAACATTTTGTTATGTTGATGAATACATTGTGAATAAAACTGCTAATAAAATGAATAATGCAGCATATAATAATTACCATTTACATTTGTTTTCAGAAAAAAAAGACTTGCAGTATCTGTGAATGTCTATTAATTCAACCTATGAACTGTATTTATTCTGTGTCGTTCTTGAAAGAACCGAAGTGGTGATATGGTTCAGCTGAGCTCTAGGAATCTCTCTCCACCATTTTTCATAGCAAGATTGAGGCCAATAGGGTATTACAGGGAATCCTCTTAATGATATGGTAATACCAAATCCTCCCTCCTGTCTCTTAGACCCTTCTTGCACAATGCGGTGAGATTAAAGCACATAGCTGCTGCATTTTATTCTATGAATCACAGGTGTTTTTTATTCATTTAATAACATTATTTATGAATCACTTGTTGAAGCCTCCATTCATGCTGGCTCTGTTTGAGACACATGCTCAGAGTGTTGACCTAACAAACGGCCTTCTTTTTCCGCTCTGCAGTTTGATGTTATTTGCCAAGATCTGTGAAAAGACTGTGCTGAAACGAGTCCTCAAAGAGCTTTGGAAAATCGTACTGAACATCATCGAGACAACAATAGTTCTTCCTCCTCTGAATGACCAGAGCGTGAGTTGGATCAATTATCTGTCTCCTTCGTTTCTCTGTTATATTTCCATCCCTCGGCCTCCACCTCCCTCCTCTTCTCCGCCTGTCTCTTTTTCGATTTCCTCCATCTGTTCAGCTCCCCCTCATAACACACAAATTACTGTACATGAGATGAAACAACATGGCATCTCTAAATCTTCACACGTGGGGAGAATTGTTAATCCTTGTCTAAAATACGTGTCGACATTTTTCATTTTGGAAAATCGCATTTACTGTTTTAGTTGTTGTTGTCGATGGACATATGAAAGTGCAATTCACGTCAAGCAGTCTTCAAACATTTTTGTTTCTTGGAGCTTCCAAAAAAAAATGAAAACACAATAACTGTAATAACTGCGTGTTGAGAATTGTAACCCTTCATCTTCACTTGCTTTATATTTTATAATCCTAATTTATACAGTCATTTAAAATGTAATCTATTCCTTGTGTAATGATTTAAATATCTGTCTGTCCAACAGCAAGGAGCTCAGATGATCTTCAATGCTGCCAAGGACTTGGGACAGCTGTCCAAACTGAAGGTAATTGTTGGAGAAACCCAAGGCGGGTTTTTCTAATCTTAGCTAAGCTAAACCCACTCATTGTTATCTCAGTAAACCATGACATCTCTAATTTGGCTGAACATTATGTACTACATTGTAAACTGCATATACGATGAATTATCAGATAATACAGCTCCACATAAACGCAACGCAATACACTTTCTCAAGAGCCTTTTTGGTAGAAATGTAACTAAATATCAGCATTAATCACATCATGATAACTTCCAAGAGTTTAAAAAAAAATATTTCTGTAATTATCAATTAAAAGTATTTAATAGGAAATAAAATGATCCGTTGGCTGCAGTTATTTATGCATATGGAATTCATCTACAAATGTAGATGGGTTATGTCATTTGGAAGCATCATTATGTAATCCAATCCAATCCACTTTATTTGTATAGTACATAATAAAAAGGGTTTACCAAAGTGCTTCAAACCAAACATAACATTATAATAAAATATAATATTACAATAATAGATAAAAGGCACACATAAGAAAATATAAAAGGATAAAAGGCACACATAAGAATTAATACACGGTACACAAAGGCTATGGACAGACAATAAAAGCATACAAATCGATAAAACAGCTCAGACTGACTCGAAAGCGAGGGCAAAGAGGTGGGTCTTCAGGCGGGACTTAAAAGTTTGGAGGGTGGGCGACAATTTGACATGGGGGGGGCAGGTCGTTCCAGAGCCTGGGGGCTACCGCTGAGAAGGCTCGGTCTCCCCTGGTCTTTTTCTTGGTTTTAGGGACTACCAGCAGCAGCTGATCAGCCGACCTCAAAGCCCTTGATGGGGTGTACACCTTTCAGGGTTCTTACGGTCATTAAAAACCTGGAAAAGTCATGGAAATTCTAATTGCTAATTCCAGGCCCTGAAAAAGTTATGGAAAACAATATTTTTCCCAAGGTTTTAGAAAAGTAATGGAAATGTAACTAAAGTTGCATCAAATATAATTTATATTTTATCTAATCGCCGAAATAGTAATACTATAATGATAATAAATACTGTATCGTATAGTAATGAAACGTAAAATGGCATTTAACTGACGAGGTGTTTTGCTGGTGAGAGATTTGAGTTGCTTTAGCGTGTAGAAGCTAGTAAGCCTACTATTGGATTTGTTTTAGATAGGCACAACATGTTTCATATGCAGACCTTATTTTCCTGTTCCATGTTAAAATAAACCATTTTCAGTGGTACCGCTGAGAAAGAGTAATTTTTTTGGTCATGGGAAATTAGGTAAAGGTCATGGAGAAGTCATGGAAAAGTCATTGAAAATCATTGGTGAAAAAGTGTATGAACCCTGACCTTTAGGAGGTCGGAGATGTACTGAGGGGCCAGCCCATTAAGCGATTTAAAAACAAGCAATACAATCTTAAAATGAACTCTAAAATGGACAGGAAGCCAGTGGAGGGAAGCCAGAATTGGTGTGATGTGCTCATGCTTGCGTGTTCCTGTAAGCAGCGGAGTCGCAGCGTTTTGTACCAGCTGCAGGCGTGCCAGCGAGGTCTTGTTTAGGCCGGCATAAAGTGCATTACAGTCATCTAGACGCGTAGAAACAAAGGCATGAATTACACGCTCAAAGTCTAAAAAGGATAAACCGGTTTAATTTTGGACAGGAGCCTCAAGTGATAAAAACTGGACTCAACCACAGAGTTTATCTGTTTATCTCATTTAAAAGCACTGTTGATTTTGACGCCCAGATTAGAGACCATGGGTTTTGCATATGGTCCTACTGGCTTTTCCATTTGAAAGTGTAACTCAGTGCAACACTAGCCAGCCTGGTGTCTAATTGCGCATGTGACCGGAGGATGTGTAATCCCCGGGGCTCCAAGTAGGCACTGGCTCGGATCAGTGGGTACACTGTGGTTTCACTAATAACAGCGCTATGACAATACCTCAGAGAGGAATTTTATTTCACATTCAAATGCGAGATGCAAATGAATAACTGTCTATGTACCTATATGTGTGTGTGTGTTGTGTGTGTGTGTGTGTGTGTGTGTGTGTGAGTGGTGTGTGTGTGTGTGTTGTGTGTGTGTTGTGTGTGTGTGTGTGTGTGTGTTTACCTGATGTTGTGTTTGTACTGATGTTGGTGTTTTGTGTGTAAAATGTTCTTTGTGGGAACTTCTGGGTCCAGCTGGTTGTTTCCGTCTCTCTCCCAAAGCTTGTTATTTATGATTATGACTGTTTTTGTTTTATGTATTTCAGTATACATATGTATTGTGTTTCTTGCTGTGTTTGTTAAAATGTGTTACATCCTTATTTTATAAACTCCATTATATTATATTGTATTATTAATGCATGCATATAACCTCATGTACTACAGGGGTTACATTACATTACATTATACCTACTTTGTATTATGAATACCTTAATATTCAAGTGCTCTGAACTTTGACTCATGTAATGGTGGGGATTTGCAGCAGAGTTAATTGGGCTGATATGTTGTTGTCTGAAACAAACAACAATGTTTGCAGGGCTATTTTCACAATCATTTCCGTTGGGCTGCACTTATCTGCCTTAGCATATGCTGCGTACGTGCATACATGTATACATCTGCATCATGGTGTTTTCATTAGGGAGAACTATTTATTCCTGCCTGCGGCCCTCAGTTATTTTGGTACTCACCACATTGTTTTCATCGGTTTGGGAGATTACTGGAACTGAGTCAATACACAGTCAAGTGGGCCCAGTTTAATGTTGGCATCAAAAAGAGACAACTACATTATTAATGCTTTAGTTTTGTTGCAGAATATAGTTGCTCCATTTTGTTGAAAGAACTTTTTTCCGTCTCAGTCTCAATTTGTAATAAGAACTTCATATTATGAATATAGAATACATGTATGTCTGTTTAGTCTGGAGCCTTTAATTTAAAGGATGGGGAGTATCATTTCACAGTGCTGCACATTGTGCACACTTCTTGTAGAATAGTTCATGTTGGTTCATTCTTAGCAGCTAGCACTAAGACACACAAGGGACCAGATGTGAAAGTCAGTAAGTCAGGGCTAACGTAGCACCGTTTGCATCTGTGATTTAGTTTCTTCAAAGCCCCTTTTCATAAAGCACTAATGCTATTCTCTTTGTGCCTATGAGGAAAACACCTGGGAAATAAGGCTGAGACAGAAGTAATACATTCACGGACTACAAACAACATTTTTCTTGATTAAACTCGATTTGTTAAACCTCTGGGTGCCTTGCTGCATAACAGGGGTTTTAAATGACTGCAATTGCTGCTGATTTATGAAAGGTAACTAACTACTCCCCCTCCTGCTGAGGTGCCATGGTGCACCTAAGGTCTTCCACATTCATCTTAAATGTAAAGCGTTTGAACGTGCCTTTTGTTCCTCCCTCCAGGAGCATGTGACCCGAGAGGAAGCCAGAAGTCTGACTCCACGACAGTGTGCAGCCCTGGACCTCGTGCTTCCCACCATCAAGGTGAGTTTTATGGCTTTGATTACACTGTTGGCTGTACAGGGAGTAGACACCTGGATGGCTAAGCTTGACCTTTAGAAAAAGACAGGAGAGGCACATAAAGCATAGCAGAGCAGAGAAATGCAAATGGCCTTTAATGAGAGTTGTGTAAATCAAAGACACGGAAAATGGTGAGGCCGTTGCTCATGTCATGAGCTGGGGACGGACTGGCCAGAGATGTAATTGACCCTCTTCTGCTTTCCTCTCTTACTCTGTCTAATGTTTTAGAAGGCTGGTTTAAAGCAAACATGGCATACAGTTAATGCTTGACTGGTCCACTAGTAATGTTTATGTAAAGATTCTAACATGCAAAAGGTGCTTTCAATAAACCTGTAATGCATGATGTGTGTTTATATTAATATGATTTATTTTATATAAAATATAGAGAGATTATTTGTACACTCACAAATTGCAAAAAGAAAAAGCAAAGACACTTTTTTAAATTTTTCAAACACATTACTTTTCATGTGCTTTTAATCGTATTTTAATCGCAATTACGATTTTGGCTTGCAACGATTAAGAAAACAACGTAATCGAAATAAAACGATTTTTAAAAAAAAAAAAAAAAAAGTTTTTTTTTTTAGTTTTTTTTTTAAATTGGTTTTTCAGTTGAATTATCCTTAAAGTTCAGGGTAATCAACTGTTTAAAATATACTCTTCCATTTTTTTTCAATAAATGGATGTTTTCAAAGTAAATGAATAATCGTTTGTAATAATCGTGATGTCAATTATTGACTCAAATTATTGCCATAATCGAGCAGCCCTACTTCTGACTGGTGAACTCAATGTAGCTGCAAACAGATGATGCATCCAAATAAGTGACACACTGCTTAGTCTGGACCAATTTGAGAGATGTAATTCATATCTAGAAATATGGAAAGATGCCCGAAGTTTCTCAGCAAAATAAGGTTTGAAATGCAGCGCTGTTCATTTACTGCCATGCGACTGTTTGTTGTTAAGGGATCGTGAGACCATTTCCAGACCCAGCCTGAGTTCTGCAGGGATAAGAAAAGAGTTATGGTGGAGGGGCCACTTGGGAAACACTGCATCATAAAGTGCAGAGAAATCTAATTGATTCTGCCGTCTCCAAGGAAACTACCTGCAGGTTTAGATCAATCATGTCGCTGCATTTTGTGTTCATCAGCTCTCCATTGAGATAAGTAAATTAGCACAGATCAGTAATGCCTTAGGAGAGTTAGCTGATTAAGGATAGAAAGCTAGATGTATATGTAGGGTTGTTTGCGTCACATTCTTCATACTGCAGGACAACAGCTTTGAACTTGGGATCTACAAAAGAACAAACTTAAGAACAGCCATCATACCCATCCCTGCTTAACCACAGAACACATTATAATGACTGTTAAAACACACCTACACACACACCTACACACACACACACACACACACACACACACACACACACACACACACACACACACACACACACACACACCAAGGACTGTGACACACGTATACACACACCTCTACACCATTAATATAAACAACATATTTTTATTTTACCATCTATTTATTATTATTATGTAAATTCTGTAGCTAAAGATTACCATTTAATTGAATATACCTAATGCCTTACCTTGCTGCTACTATTGCTTTTATCACTGCTGGTATTTCATTGTTCCTACTTGAGAGAGGCTAACTACACTTTGTCGTACCTGATCATAATGACAATAAATATATTCTTATTCTGAGATAATAAACAAAGACATTAGTTTAATAGGAACTTAATGTACTGTACATATTGACTAGTACAGACACGATGATTAACTACCAGCATTAGGTCTTAATGTTACCCACAGGGCACATATACTGTAGAATAGACTATTTAATGGTCACACATGCAGAGCACACACAGTGACATTTGGCCTCTGCATTTAACCCATCCTAGTACCAGGAGTCTAGGAGCAGTGGGCAGCTATTGTACAGCGGGGAGCAATGGGAGGAAGGGGGTTGCCCGGTGCCTTTCTCAAGGGCACCACGGCAGGGCCCAGGAGGTGAACTCCATATTTAGGTCTGTTCGGGGACTTGAACCGGCGACCATAAGGCTCACAGTCCAAGACCCTACTAACTGAGCCACTGCCGGACACATATGGTATTAACAAGCCAAAGTATGTGTTTCAGCCCCAGTATTGCATTTATATATTTCTAAGTGCATGTAGTGATTATCTAACTGACAATAATTTATCTGGACTGAACTTTGAACTTCTGTGGAAACTAATGGGGGATAATGGGTTGATGCACTGCCCCAAAGACCTGTTGGCAGATGGCTTGCAGTCCATTTAACTGATTCCCCATAATGCACCATTCGTTCCCTTCTGTAAACTCTGACCTGTGAGTGATCGCAGAAGAAAGACACTTAGCTTTCCCACCAAATCCAGCTTTGTTGTTCTAGATAGAGTTGTGTGTGGATGGACTACACATGGGATTATGTATTCTCTTTTTCTTAAAAAACGAATTTGAAACATAACACCCTGTTATTAAAATTCCTGTTGTCATGTGTAGGGTGTATTATTTGGGAACTTCTTTTATTTTGAATGCTGGTTTGCTTAGATTTTTCATGAAGTCAAGAGAGGAGAGCTATTTAATGGTCTATTTTGTAGTCGGTTTGAACCTATCCTTCTTTGAAAACTGACAATAAAAACTGTTAAGATTTTATGGAAATGCGCTTTTTTTATATAGTTAGACGTGGGGGTAGGACATACAGTAGTGTAGATATTATGACCTTTGATGAAAGGACACTTCAGTAAATCTTAACCTTTGAATTTGATTTGAGTTCTCCAACTAGCAGCAATACCAACTGCAGCATGTACCCATTGTTGTGGAATATTTTCCAAGGCCCATAACTTTGACCCAGTGTATCAGTTCAAACTGTCCTGACTGAGCACAGGCACCTGTAACCTTGGCTGCTGTGCTCTCAGTGTTTTGTCTCCCTGTTCCTGCCTGTTGGCGTCAGCTGATAGAGGTGTTATCATTCTATCTTGTTATGCAGCATGTTGATGATGCTCTCTGAACTAGCTAAATACATGGGTCTGGGGTAGAGTTCTTCAGAATTGACGTGGCAACTCTACCGTGAAGTCAGAACCTCTGACTCTTGGACTTGTGATGTGAATCCTCCGGCCGTTAACTCCAAATAAACCACCAGTGTTTGACATCAAAGCTACTGCTCTTCCCGTGTCTCCTTCCTGAGTCGGTGACTCCCACTGCATAGCTACACAGAAGTTTCCTCTACACCCATATTATAAAACATTTCTCCAAAAGCTGCAGCTTCATCATTACTGACAGTAAGTGAAGCTTTGGTTCAGTTTGTCAAGGAAAGCATTCACCTTTGATTAGATGTGTTCGCTCGCTGTAGGCTATATTTATGAATATATCGCGCAATATATAATTGATTGTGTGTTTTTTGTGTCTTTCTCTGGGTAAACTCCACCCAAGTGTCACCCCCTGCATGACAGCTTATGCATCATCCACAAATGGCAAATGCCAGACAAATGTTGTAACTCATGAGTTATAAGTGAGGAGGAAAACAGTGCCTCATACTGTGCTGAGTCAGTTCAAAGTGCAGACCCCGGTCAAAAAACAATTACCAACCAGCGTGGGGAGCGTCATTCCATGTGGGATGGCGATGATGTGGGAGGCGTGTGGTGCAGTGGGTCGTTCCTTGGTGTTCGGATCAGGGGGTCACAGGTTCAAACCCCACAACAGTCAGAGGCCGTTTCTCAATCGCGAGGATGCTTGCTTGGTAGTCGTGTACTTCCAAGTCACTTCCTTCAGAAACGAATCAAGTATACTTCCAAGCCACGGCTTCGGAAAAAGAATGGAACAGGCTAACAAGTGTGCCACTCTCTCTAACGGTTTCAACATAAACTGTACAGAAAATAAATACCTCACGATGTCTATCTAATTATGAACTTACTTTCACGGAACACATTTTTGGTGATAACAAACAAATGTAACAAAGTAACATATTTATCAACACATGTTCTACGCCACTTACATTTAAATGTGTGCTGCGTCGGTTCAGCCATTCTCCGCAAGGGTTTTTGAAATTGGTCCGTGCGCAAAGCATTGTGGGGATTTTAAGGACGCGAAGTCTACCCATGTGCAGCCTCAAAATGTCCCCCAAACCAAGAATGCGGCCTTCCAAGTATGCTGGAGATTGGAACAGTCCTTCTGCGGCACTCGATGACGTAGCATCCTTGAAATATTGACTTGGAAGCCAGTATCCTCGAGATTGAGAAACGGCCAGTGTGTCCCTGGGCAAGACACTTCACCCCAAATTGCTCCTGTGGGGATTGCCCACAGTATTGAGTATGTTAGTCGCTTTGGATAAAAGCGTCTAACATGTAATGTAATGATGTGGCTCAAATGTCACCTGGCAGCTAAATGCAATCTCTGTCTACTGTATTTTAAATTGTGTCCAGTGCCTTTGAGGTTATGAGGCATATCTCCTTTTTTTACTTTGATCACGACAACAGACCCTACACTAACTCTGCAAACAGCCCGACAAATAAACCTGTGTTCCTATAATGATCATGTGTTACAGAGGAGAGCAAGGACAAAACAAAAAAAGGGTTGAGACAGTCTCTCCGAGTACTCATCTTCACTTTTCAGCAACACCTCCTTTTTTAATAAGATCTGTCCTTGGTCACCCTCCAATCCTCCACATGTGGGAGTGGTGACAGGGTTGGAAGAGGAAGCAAAGCCCTGTCTGTGCTTAACAGGACAAATGTGCATTAACCAACCAAGCATGGGTTTCAGATTTAAATGCATGGTCATTAGCTACAAAAGGGGCACTTACTGTTGTCTCTTGTCTGGTCTTGCTAAAGTGTTTCCCCCTCCTTGTGAAATGCACACTGTCCACATAATAATGGGCTTTTCTCTCAGCCATCTGTATCCTGTCTTCTGTGATCTAAACAAGAGTTCAATGCTGTTTCAAAGTTTATGTTCACCTCAGGATGAAGTATAAATCTGTTCCTTCCTGTTTGTTTTTTTACAGCAATACTTCCATGCTGGAGGAAACGGGCTGAAGAAAACCTTCCTGGAAAAGAGCCCCGATATGAGGTCCCTCAAATATGCTCTCAGCCTTTACACTCAACCTACAGATGCCTTGATCAAGAAATATATATGCACCCAAACCTCTCAAGGTAATGAGCTAGCCAAGATTGAATTACGTTTCAGTTTAGGGAGTGGCTTTACCTCAGCATTCAAATAATGAAAAACGTAGGTTGGGGCTCTGTTTGTTATAAAGACACAACATTTCAGCAAGACCATGTGATGCTGTACCATGCTAATTATTGTGGAAACTATTGTGTCACAGCCCTTTTGTCTGACACTAGTTAAGAGTAAACATATTCCAATTCAACTTGATTAACTCTATTAGTGATTAACATGAGGTCACACAGCCATTTGCTCCTGTAACAGTATATTTTAAGTGATACAGGTGAAAAGCCTTACTACCAGCAAATCAGCAGCTGCTTCTATTTGTTGTTAGAAGTGATTACAAATAATGACTCCAGTCCTGGCTTCTTTTGAGCGTTATATATTTCTGTTTTCCCATCAGTGTTAGCTTCCTTTCCACAACAGTCTATGTGCTCTGAGGATCTCTCTGTGTCACGTCATGTTCTTTGGTTGCAACGGAAATCGCAGTAATTGCATTCATCCCCTTAACTGTTTAAGTCCTTTATTGCGTTCAGGAGAAAAGAAATAAGCAAACTTTCCACTGGCCACTTCACCCCATAGCCTGAGGGGCTGGAAGACTTCTATGCTCTATTTCTCTCTTCCTTATTAGAAACACATACAAACCCTGTCATGACACAAACGTATAAGGTACATCCGAAGTGTGAAATGTATAAATTCCCATTTGCGCTCGTTCCCTCTGTCATCACAGACCCTCTTTATCTGTTGTCGTCACATCCATCCGTCTCTATGTGGAACGTTGTTACTCCATCTCTAACAAGGTGTCCGGAGAGATTCGAGTGGGAAGTCTGCCCAGTGGGGCGTGGAAGCTTTAAGCTCCCGGCTGCTCAGTGTGCTCAGCCTTGCAGAACGATGCATAGGCTGGCAGCAGGAAACAAGATGGCAAAGGCAGAAAGCTAGTCAGGCAGGCAGCAGGACCTACGAGCATCCATTCTCTCTGTGTCTTGCAGCCTATACGTGGAACTAGTGAGGTGGTAGATGGGCATTAGGACAGTAAACAGTGTGGGGATGTGATGATGCTTGATGAAGCACAGTGGAGACCATTTCATTAATCAGCAACCCCTGTGCTCTGACACATTTAGACCATGCTATGCTCTCGTCTATTCCCCTCTTCCTGTTTGTTAGAGAGTGTTGAAGCCTCATAGCTATTTGAAGCTACATCACTGGACAGTAATAATAACACATCTTTAAGTAACACTTTCTATAAAAAAAAACAACACACCACCCTTATAGTTCATAAAGAGGCCATCTATAATTCATCGTAACTACACTCATAAACATACATAATACTTTTCAATACACTATAGTTTCAGTCATAACACTTTAAAGCTGTGACTTGTGTTGAACTACAGACAATTTTGCAATCAGATCACACCAGCAGTGACTTTAAATCAGACCAGGGGCTCAAAGTGGGGTCCAAAAGGCCGCTTCGTTATGTTTCTACCTCCCTTTTTCCAGCGCCCTTAATTGCACCACTCCCATCTTTGAACTTGACCTTTACTTTGATCTGAGCTGCACACCTGTAAGCTTTCGTAACTGCATTTGCACAGTTGCAGCATCACATGGTCACATAATCTGTCCCCAGCTAGACAGACAGACAGACAGAAGTAGAAACACCTGAATAATTAGTGATGAAAACCTCATCATTGGAAGGTCCTCGTGCAGCAGGTGTCTCCAGAAAGACATTATTCCATGATGACACACACATACACACACGCACACACACACACACACACACACACACACACACACACACACACACACACACACACAGGACACACATACAACACACACACAGACACACACACACACACGCAACACAACACACACACACACACACACACACACACATACACCACACACACAGACACACATACACACACGCACACACACACACACACACACAGACACACATACACACACACACAGACACACACACACACAGAGATGCACACACACACACACACACACACACACACAGACACACACAGAGACGCACACACACACAGACACACACACATACACACACATACACAGACACCCGTACACACAGACGCACACACACACACATACACATACACACAGACACACACACACAGACACACACACAGACACACACACACACACAGAGACGCACACACACACAGACACACAGACACACACACAGACACACACACACATAGACGCACACACACACACAGACATACACAGACACACACACAGAGAGACACACACACGCACACACACACACACAGACGCACACACACACATACACACATATACACACACAGACACACACATACACAGACAAACAGACACACAGAGATGCACACACACACACATACACACACACACACACACACACATACACACACACACAGACACACACACACAGACACACACACACATACATACACACACATACACAGACAAACACAGACACACACACAGAGACGCACACAAACACATACACACACAGAGACGCACACAGACACACACACATGCACACACACAGACACACACACATACACACATACACACACACACACACAGATACGCACACACACACACACATACACACAGACGCACACACACACACACACACAGACACACACAGATACGCACACACACACACACACAGACGCACACACACACACCAACCTCACTGTTGCGGCTGATAATAAGAGTCTCATATATGCTTTAGCTACAAGAGGTTTACTAATGGTGCTAAAATACATAATGCCGAGCTTTGCTCTCCTATATCCACCTCGATAAGCAAGTGAGGTCAGGACTCAGTATGCTAATGAATACATATTGAGGCATCTTTAATATTGCAGGCTTTATCATGACTTTTTATTGTTGCTGGTAATTAAAGTGTAATGCTTTTTATGCATTTACATAAATCACTGCTGCATCCTTATGGCTTCAAAATGTATACTAATTAGTGTAGTCATAAAGCATTAGGAAAGCAAGATAATTCACTATGGATGCCCTCACAATGCCCTATAGATGGTCTTTGTTCTATTATCTTTGTTCATACAGCAAATGTTTAACAGCGTTCTGCCTGAAAAGGAATCTTCTTTTTGATGTCTCACTTTCTGTGCATTCAGGCTAACGTTATTCGAGACAGTAAAGGGCAACACTTTCAATCAATTAACCGCAACTCTGCAACAATTAATGTCTACAACTCACCCCTCTTATCAGTTACTACTCTGTCCTTTTGTTAGCCTTTTCCTCACTTTATCTGCTGACTCTGCCACCACAGATTGATCTGCTTTTATTCTCCATTATCTACCTTATGTGCCATTCTTCTTATTCCCAATCAGCTCTCCCTTAAACTCCCCATTCGAGTATCTGCTGTGTGACGGTGTCCGGGAAAACATACAAAATCTATTTATTTAAAACTATTTCAACCGTTGTAGCTGAAGTAAATGTGCAGTGCCGTTGCTCGGTTCATTTCCCAAAAGTCCAGGGCTTAATTGTGCAGCAGAATTGTTGTTTTGCCCTCAGCCTCTCGGGGCCTTATTACAATAAATCAGGAGGTTTGTTTCTTCATTACCCTTTATTATAAGTTGCACCGCATGTTCGGCACATATTGATAATATATTGGATCATGCTCTTTAACCAACCACATCAGCACACCATCCAGTGTTCAATATCTTATTGTCCCGGGGCGGGATGAAACACGAGTCAGGAAGCCCTGTGAGACACATTGTCAGAAATCAAATCGTTTCCTGGCAGAAACATGTCCCTGTGTGATTGAACCTTTGGTTTTGATGTAATTGCGCGAGGTGTGATGCCCACACCCCCCTCCCCCCTCCCCCCTCTCCTCTCTCACTCCTTTCTTGTACGTTGTTTTGCTTTAATTTAGAATATAGCCAAATCCAATGTTTTGATTGTGCTTCTGTCGACTTGGACGGTTTGATGATTTAACTGAGCACAACATTATTTTTTGAGCGTTTCCCTTCACACCATCTGCCTCCTCCGTGGCCTTCAAACCAATCGGATTACTTCATGTTTCTTTTTTCTATCCTTGTTGTTTTACTTGTTCAGCCTCAAGCGAAAGTAAACCCTGGCTGTTGTTGCTACTGGGCTCTAATAGGGGTGAAACCAAGTCTACTCCCCTTCCTTTACCCTGGGTTTAGTTTTTCAGCTTTGACACAGAGAGGTGTTTATACACCGCTGTTTGGATCAATTTCTGGATACCTCATCCACGAAAAAAGCTGCACCTACAGTTTTGGATTGTCTCCTTTCATCCTCTCTCCATCTCTCTCACTCTGGCTTTATTTTGGTTACCCGATCCCTCTATTTCTTCTCTGTGATTTCTATTATGCCTCTTTTAAATTCTCCTGTTGTTGTTTTGGTGTGTGTCCAGGTCAGTCATCCAACGGATCCGTGGGGGAGGTGTCGATGCAAGTGACTCTCATCTCTCACCCTGGCACTGGAGAGCACAAAGTCAGCGTGAAGGGTAAGCATCACCTTTACCCAGACTTACTTTGTGACATTCCTGTTTAATAGTATTAACACCTGCACATGTTCAAAGACACAGCATGGACAGCTCATGGCGGTAATCTCATTTATATGATAGTGCTGCTGTGCCATGATTAGCAGCATTGTTATAAATGTCTGCTTTGAACAGAAAATAAGGACATTAACACACAGCTGGGGTTGTACAGTACTAACTATATAGGTCTCGTGTTTTATTCTTGTAGTCACTGAGGAAGTCACTTATCATGTATTGCTTGGAAAAGTGTTTTTATCTGCAACGCTAGTACCACCAACAGTTTAATGGCGCATTTCCACTGCAGCGGGTAGCCGTCCTTAATCGTCCTCAAGCGGCCAGGCCAGTTTTTGGTGGCCTTTCCATATAGCCTAGCACCGGCTAGCGGGTACGTTTTTCCTCTTTTTCCGGCCACATAAAATCGTGGTTCTATCAGGCCAGGGCTGAACTAGTGACGTCAACACTCTCGACTGCTGATTGGTCAGAGAGAATCGTCACAAGATCGCGCGCAAGATCATCCCTAGCGTCGCATATATATCTAGAAGCAAGCTTGCAGCATTTTTATAAACAGCATTTTTGTAAACAGAGGAGCTACAAAAATGGCAACGTCAAAGAAAAGCACACCGTGGTCGACCGAGGAGGTGACGACGTTCCTACATCTCATTGGGGATGATAAAATCCAGCGGGAGCTCGACGGAACAACAAAGCCGATCGCCCTGCCTACACTGCGTTGCTACCCCAGGTCCTAAACTGTAATGGAAATGCGTCACGGCCTCAGACGGCCAGCGAGGCAGCCCGAGGCCTGAGCAAGGACGCTTAGGGACGCTTAAACGGGGCTACCCCGTTGCAGTGGAAATGTGCCATAACATGTGGGGCTTTTCATCAAATGTTTTGACAATTTACGGATGTATTGCGACAGAATTATAAAAAGACACTAGCAGTGGCAAGAAAATGAGTTTGTCAAGGTGTTAATTTATCCACTCAAATAACTCCACATTTACATGATGGATTAGCACAACGTTTTCGCAGTTAGGAATCTTGATGACATCTAGCGACATCAGCAGATCAATGTTGTTACAACCAAGAACCTGCGTCTACAGTATGACTCTCCTATCCTCCAGATCATTGTTTCCTAAATGTCGGCGACAACGATCGGACTCATCAATGCCAATGATTTCCCTTCCCCCTCCTGAAGTCGCACCATATGCACTGCAGCTGGCAATCAGCTGTAATCAGCCCACAGCAGTTACATGACAATGTGATTGCCAGCGAGGTTACTATAGCAATCATAGATGGATGTTTCTATTTTGACAGGATAAAAACATGCACTTTAGCCTTTCTTTATTATTTTCCCTTGACAACCATAACAGACCAAAATAGAATCAGTATCTCAGCATTTTATGGTTGATGTATCGACCATGCTAAATGTTCTGCATAAGGATAATGTTGCAATTTGACTCACAGGCACTTACATCTTAAGATGATTACCAATAATATTCCAGAGAGGTGGAAATGTATCTGCTATCAAATTGTTTTGTACTTGCTCTGAAAGCATCTCACCATAAAATACAAATGGGTATACATTCAGACAATCATCTTGGTGAAGAGGATAAAGACACTTCCAATAATGGGGCCAAGAATACATTTAAACAAAGCTAATGTTTGACGAGGATCCGCTTTACCTTAAACCTTATCTACACTTCTGATAAATATTTGTGTGTGTTTCTCAGTGGTCGCAGTGAACAACCTCATCTGGCAGACCAACGCCATGTTCCGGCCGTTTGTAGAGGTCAACGCCGTGGGACCGCACCTGGCTGACAAGAAGCGCAAATTCAGCACCAAGACCAAGAATAACAACTGGTCACCAAAGTACAACGAAACATTCCAATAGTAAGTCACCGTGCTGAGTGTTCGTTACAGAGGGGAGGAGAAAGGAGGCAAAGACTAGGGCATGTTTAAAAGCACCTATGATTATTACCTGGGATGGAAGGGTTACTTAAATTATGTTACAATAATTAGTTACATGTTATAAAATATTATTAGTAACTTAAACTAAGTATCAAAATATGAAAGTAATGTATCCTAATTACTTTCCGTTAGAATATGAAATGCAAAAAACAAGAGAAAATAATATGTTTTTTGTTACTTAAGTGTCTTATGTAACGCAACAGAACAATGTAACCAGGAAGAAACCAAGATATTTAGTATAACAAATGTGTCCTTTTAAATTATGTGATAGACCTACAGAACAGTAGTACCAATAATCTGATCACTCATTTTTTTATGTAACTTTAAGTGAATAAAGTAACCTTTTTTGTTGTATCCTGATTACATAATCCTGTTACAAATAATCTGTGACTCCCCAAGCCTATAATGTACATACAACCTAAAAGTCACATTTCTGAGACATCCTGTACCATAACCATTTAACAGTATCTTCAGAGAAGTGTTCAGTATGCTTTCTGCACACTAAAGTCTTTCCTCCAGCAACCTACATAAAACATGATACCTGTAATACCTTACTCCAAAAGTTGTTCCAGAAGTTGTAGGTTGTGAGTGGAGTTCAAATTGCTTTACCGACACTTTTGCTTCATTGAAACTCTTGAAGGAAGTGAAGAGACGGTTTGATGAATCTTTAGGCTTGTCTCTTCTCATTCTGAGCCGATCCAACTAAAGTCACACAGCTTAAACGGTTTTAGTGCGAGATGTAGCAACGCCTTCGCGATCAGTGCAGGCTCAGGGCTGTCTGCATTTGGATTCACTTCTGGCATGTCATTTTAATTTTAAGAAGTCGTAAAAGTTGCTGGGGATATCAGAAAATAACCTGAAACAAAAATATGGTTTGAAACAAAGAAGAATTTGAATAGAGCAATTCATTCAACTTGCAAAGCATGATTGAAACGACTCATCACAGCCACACAGATACTAAGAAGGTTTTTCGGTAGTTGCCAGAGACTTCTACTGACATTATATCCAGCTGCCAAGAAATCCAAATGTCAGTATCCAAAAGCAATCAGTGTGTGTCCATGAACAATTCCTCAGAGTGACACTTTTTGTTTAATTTGATCCATCTTTAAAAAATTACATAAAAGTCAAGTTAATTTTAAGTGACTTTCAACCCTTTTGACAGTTTGAAATGGTAACTGACTTTTCTATTATCCAGGTTTAATCATCTCCTTTTAATGTCCTGTTATATAGTACTGCAGTGTAGTAAAACAGCCCTGATTTTGCATGTGAACATAATATTTGTCCCCTCTCTGATCTCTCGGTGTCTTTCCTCCGCAGTGTTCTCAGTAACGAACATGGTCCGGAGGTCTACGAGCTCCACGTCTCAGTGAAGGACTACTGCTTTGCTCGCGACGACCGCATCATCGGCATGACGGTGATTCAGCTCAAAGAGCTGGCGGACAATGGCAGCTGCTCCGCAAACTACCCGCTGGTGAAGAGCGTCTCCATGGACGAAACCGGCCTCACCATCATGAGGATACTCTCTCAAAGGACCACCGACGAGGTGGCCAAAGAGTTTGTGCGTCTCAAGACGGACACACGCTCGGCGGAGGAAGTGTCGTAATGTGCAGCAAAAACGCAGTATTAAAAGAGTTGTGTTGTCTTGAGTGGAAGATGAATAGAAAAGGGGAGAAGGAGAAAGGGCAGTAGCAACAGATGTTCTTTCTGAAGAGAAGCTGGAGAATGTCCAAAGAGAAGCGCAGGAGGCCCACATGTGGTGAGGCAGCAAGACAGTGACAGAGAGAGAGAGTTGTGTTTGTTTGTTTTTGTGCATGTGCGTAAAACATCTGTTGGAATGTTCATTTTAAAAACTACAGTATGTACAAGTGTTTACTTACCGTATGCTTACTATTAAGTACTATATTCTACGAGTTATGTTAACGAGACATGAAATACCTTTTGTACAACATTTAGTCTTTTTGAACAGAAATTTGTTCCAATAAAGTGCCAAACCAGTGAAAAAAAGAACAAAACCAACGTATATGAATTATGGTGAACTTAGTATGTTTGAAATTTGCTCGATTATTTTGTCCGGTGTAAGTCGTTTTCTGACAGTGTGGCGTTTTGATTGTTGCAGAGTCTTTTCATTTTGCACCCTCGTTTTTTGGCTTCACGTTCTTCCTCACAGCACTGTTGTGCATGTCCTCTTCTCGGTCATGTCTCTCCCATGATTCCAGTGACCACCGAGCAGGGTCCTGTCCCCTTGCCTTCAAACTGTTTGTATTTTATGTCGACCTGAAAATAGACCATGTTTTTTTAAATGGCGATGACTGCTATGTAAACCTTCATAGGTGTTTGTAATTTTATAACCATGACAACAATGACGACAGCCTCCAGTGCTAACAGTCTTAGCAGAAAGGATGGAAATGTTTTCCTTTTTTTTTTCTTCGGGCTTTTGTTCCTTGTTTTTGGCCATCAGCTTCCAGCCTTTCTGAATGACCACTGTGAACATGAGCTTTGGAAGGCAAGCTTACTGTATATGACATTACTGACAGTTTGATATTATTGTTTCATATTTTTCCGATAACTTTGTTCCTGATAAACTGCCAAAGTTATATAAAATATTTGTACAAAAGCAATCCATTACATGTATGATATATGATGAAATATGTACATGTGATCTATTACTTTTTCAATGCTTGATATAATGATTATTGATAGGGTGGTAATAAGATTTTATTTTTTTTATTTCCTGTGAAGCTGTTAACCAATATGAAAGTTGCACATGTTACTTTACAAATTAGTTATATCAGCTTCTGTCATTGGAATTTATTTTCTTCATAAAGGAAAGAGTAACATTTGGTAAATATGCAACATTCCTATGTATTGCACTGATGGCGAATTGTATGTCATGTAAATATATTTAGTGAGATATTGTACAAAAGTCTACTTTTCTTCAATGTGCATAAAGTATGTGCAAATGTGTTTAAACATCTGGGTCATTTTGAGCAATCGTTGGAGCAAGCATCTCTCTAACACATACATGTAGCATGTGTGTTGATCATGGGGCTTTTAAGATTGAAGCTTCATATTTAGGTAGAGCTGAGTTGTTGAAAATTAGAATATCAAAACATTGAAAATAATGTACTCTCTGCGAGCAGTTTGATCAGGTTTGCTAGACTATGACGTTCGGTCTAAATTAGCCTCAGTTAACATGATGACAATTATGGTCAGTTGCATTTAAAGTGGACCTAGTATGCTATATTGGAAAAATATATATTGTAGGGCCAAACCTACGTCAAGTTTTTTGCTTAAAATACCAAACAGTTCACCCATTGTAGCCATGCCTCATACTGCTCACACCCCTCTTTTGAAGCCCTGTTAGAGAAACGCGGATTTTGGGTCCTTAGCTTGAAAAAAAAAAAGAGGAGGCGGAGCTAATGCCTGATTAGAACTCTACCGGAGATAAAGTTAAATTCTGCTGTGATAAAACGCCATCCTGTTCTAAACCACATCAATGATTATTTCTGAAACAGTATGGAGCTCAAATGCTTTTTCTCTTGCGGGTTTATCACAAGGTGAGTTCCTTTTTTTATTTCCTGCTTTTTAAACACATGTGCTCTTCAGCAGGTTAGCTCTGAGTGTTAACGAGGCTAGCTAATGTAAACAAAGACGAGATTACGTTCAAAACACGTCAGGCATTGTTTCTGATAGCAACTTTCAGTGGGTCCGCCATCCGAAATTACGTAATATCGGCAGCAAATCTGTATCCGCTCGTTGTACCCCCGTTTTTAAAATATTTGGGTAAGGAGGAAAAGAGAAAGGGTTTTATTTGTTGCCGCTGCGTGAGGTCCCTGACACACCGGGGACACATATTTCTGTATAAAAGACATACAAAAGTGAATTTTGCATGATAGGTCCCCTTTAAATTGGTAAAAACTCTAATCTGTGTTTCAGAAAATGATTTACACCATTTTGCAGGTCTGTTTGCTCCTACAGTATAGTGAGTGATGCACATAAAAACATTTGGACAATACACTTTGGTTTCTAAAGAGCCGTAGCCTACTGAAGTTTAAAGTGCCGTGCCCACACCGCCTTACTCTACACCAGGGGTGCCCACACTTTTTGGGCTGGTGAGCTACTTTTGAAATGACCAGCTCACCGAGGTCTACCAACCAAAAATAAAATCCCAAATTGCAAGGGTTGCTGAATAACACGTTTTATTTATACATGGGATAATAGGGCTGCAACAAACGACTAATTTGATAATCGATTAATGAAACGACTAATCGACTATTCGGACTATTACTGTATGCCTTGCACAATGTCTCAAACCCTCTTGTTTAGCCATCAACTTTTAGATTTAGCTTGAGGTTGTTTTAGGCATGTGGAAACTAACAATGAAGACAATAAAGATGAATACTTGATTCAAAAATACATATATTATTAAATTAACAAATTGTGAACAAAACTAACATTACTTTTTATTTAAATTAAATAAATAATATTTCGCATCAAAAGAAACAACAATGTTTTAACAAATCGTATTAAATAATCTGATGACAGAACTGTAAACAGAATAGCTGAAACTTTAACAAAATAAAGAGTAACTCAGTTTCCTATAATCATTAACCCATGTTTGAATCATTGATTTAACTGCGTGTGTTGCTGCTAGCATACATAACACCTGACGAGGAAACGTTACTCGTGGATGGAGCTACAGAGCTGCTAGAAAGACAGTGGAACCCGGTGCATTCCTCCGTCTGAATGTGTTGCACTTTTTCTAAATGTTTAGACACATTGCTCGTGTTACCGCCCTTACATGCTGAACTCTCTTGGCAAGGAGCATTGTCCACCTCAAGACGGGTAACATTTAACCACACCTTGGAGCGCTTCTCTCCTCCGTGTGTTGCTGCTTGTAGCAGCCGCGTGTGTGTAAGCTGCCCCGCCCCCTCGCGCACAGACAGGGGAGAGAGATCTCGTCTCGATTGGAAAGATCGAAAATACACCGACATTTGTTTGTCTTTGTGCATGTTAGAAACGAGTTGGCGACACTAAGACTGCGAGATCATGTTTGTGTAGCAATAATACATGACCTTTCTCTTTCTCAACTCGCTACTCGGAGGGAAGTCGCTGTCATATGCCTTGTGAACACTCCGATAATGCCTCTCCACGTTACCTTTCTTTGGCAGAGCGACGCTTGCTTTACAAATAAGGCAAATAACCTTTGAATGTGACATCACAAACAAATATTCTTCCTCCCATTCTGGGTGGAAGTGGTTTGTCTTTAGCTTCTTGCTCGGTTCCGCACTCATTTTGTTGTTTGTCTCTTTAACTTAATTTGAGTTTTCCCGGCACTTGACTGATTTTGTATCGCTTTGCATTCTGGGTTAACAGACTGGAAAGCGATAGGTCGCTTTTTCTGTCAATCAAGTAAACTCCTGAATTAAGTGGCAGGGAGGCCAAGGGAGGAGGGATCAAAACCTGTTTTGTCTATTTTAACGGAACAGGATTTTTTTTTTTTATGAATGACTAGCGATCTACCAGCATTGCCCCCGCGGTCGACCGGTCGCCCGCGGTCGACGTACTGGGCACCTCTGCTCTACACTAAAGAGGTGGGGCACCGTAGATGTTCGCTAGCAGCTTGCGACCTGTGAGAGCACCCACCTGTCACTCAAAGCGTATTTTACTGTTGGTCACATCACTATAAGAAATATATTTTTTCATATGCTTTTTTCCTTCATCAATACCTTCATCTTAGAACACCCACAATGCAACTGGACCAGCTTCAGTACAGTCAGAGATGTTGGTGTATGTTGCTATTAGTGGCTAATGTATCCTCAGGTGGCTAGCCTCAAGAAGAGATGAAGAGCGTGCTGCAGAGGTCTGTAATCTCACTTATTCCTTACTTTCACTTCTTCCCACACCCTGGATTGATCCAACCAACACTGGGATATGACATCAATTGGGACAATATATCAACCTGCACACACTGTAGCTCCATTCAATAGTTTTATTATGCAAATATCCACTTGTACTTCACAAGGCTTCACAGTTTTTTATGTGGATTTGCTGCAGTCTCTCTTAACGTTACAAAGACCCCTGAATACATTCATAAAGAATATTTAGCAAGATGTTATATTCTAAATATGTCTTTCAATCCTCCCTCAATAGGAAGAGGAAGAGGTATCCTTAAAATGAAATAATTATGACTGTGCTTTGGGAACTACGGGATTGCTTACAAGTTAAATATGTATTTCATGGTTTTGAGTGACAGGCCGAGACACAGTGTTCTGACTGATTTCCGACTGCACACTCTTCCAACTCGTGTCTGCAACTTAGTCACAGATATCTGAGTCATGTTTACCTGTTGATGCTCACTATGAAAACGCCTACAGAAACTTTCACTGGAAACTGTAATCATTCGCACTTAATATGAAGGCTTTTACTTTGCCAAAGTTAACATTTGTATGCTTGATTTCATGGTGCTTCAGATGAGTGTTTTCAAATCAGTTGTGCTCTACTTATTGTCCTTCAACACCCACAGGAAGAAATTCAAGTTTGTGTCAGAAAATAATCCCCAATAAACACGTCATCTGCCAAAACTTCAACGACACAATTACGGAGGCGTGTGGCGCAGTGTCCTAGTGCTTTAGTGTTCGGATCAGGGGAGCACAGGTTCAAACCCCACTGCAGTCAGCATGTAGTTGTGTCCCTGAGACACTTCGCCCCAAATTGCTCCTGTGGGGATTGCCCACAGTATTGAGTATGTATGTCGCTTTGGATGAAAGCGTCTTACAAGTAACATGTAATGTATTTTTATTTAGAGAGCAGTTCATTTCTTGCTAAATGGGAAAATGTGGACTCAACACGTGTGGATACGATAGTATTAGTGTAAGATTACTCATGGGTAGTAATTTAGGGAAATGCTAACTCTATAAATGTAGACAGAGGTCTATAATACAATTCAGACTAAAACATAGATCTCAAAGAAACACTGATAAAACTACATTGTAAACAACTGGTTCCTTAGAGAGAAATTGCGGTTCACAGTAAACTGATTTATCTCGGGCCCGGCACAGGGAATAAGAGCCCAATGGAGATATGGAAAACTGTTTTAAAAGAGAAACATACAGGAAGTACTTCAGACAAAGTCCTGAGTTATCGTGCAGAGAGACATCAATGCAGTTGTTTCATACTGGCATGATGGTCCTTTTTGAGTGTATTATAATTTGATACATAGAGAGTCTTGTAAGCAAGTTTTCTTAGTGAAAATGTCGGTGTTTACATCCTTCATTGACAGGGTAATAGGGTGATTTGTTTCATCTGTTATGAGGAGTCAACATGAAGTGAAAAAGGTGTTTATTTTCCATCACATTAGCCGAACAACATAATATAGATTCATAAGCACAAAGAGAAAAGGAGAAACACAAATGATAAAGCTTATTTTAAGTTCAAATACCTTGAAGCAGCAGTGCAACATTTTTTGAATAAGGCTTTGCTTTACGAGTTTGAGAAGGTCAATACAACTTACGAGACAAAAAAGTGTCAGCTCGAAAATGTTGGTTTACTGACATTTTTAAGGTGACCTTCCACAACAACCTGGGAATTGTGCTTTTTAACAAGCAAAACTATGTGTTGTATATAGATGATATATAAGTATGGCTTAAGGGAGGTGTGTGGCGCAGTGGAATAGTGCGTTGGTGTTGGGATCAGGGGGGCACAGGTTCAAACCCCCACTGCAGTCAGCATGTCGTTGTGTCCCTGGGCAAGACACTTCACCCCAAATGGCTCCTGTGGGGATTGTCCACAGTATTGAGTATGTAAGTTGCTTTGGATAAAAGCGTCTATACTGTAGTAATATGTTAAGATAGAGTAAATTCTACTTATAATGCTATATCTTCAGTATAAGAGCATTGTCTTAATGGCAGATCTATTTTAAAGGACAGATGGTTCAAATGCATTAGAAGAGTATCGATATGAACATAGATGTGATGGATCACTAAGTACCAGTTTAATCAATGCAGGAGCTACAGCAATATATATATATATTTGTGATGCCATTAAATGAATACACTGTAGCAAAATACTGTGTCATTACTTAGTCAAAGCAACATTAGGTGCGCTTGAATGAGTCCAAAATTAGATTGAATTACATTACAGGTAATTGCATCATTGTTTTGGCTTTTTAAAATCCCTGACTGCTCCAATCCCCCATGTCATCTGCCATTGTGTTAGCAGTTTTCTTATATCCTGTTATTTTCTTTTCCTAAGCCAAGCATGCCAGTCACAGCAGCTTGTTTCTTCACCGTGTTATAGGGACATGTGGAAGAAACATGTTCAAATAAGAAAACAACCAGAAAAGAGAAGACTCAGAAGCAGGGGGAGGGACAAACTGTCACTCTTGTTCTCCCTGAAGGCAGCGAAGATGGAGTAAAACACTAACCTGACTCATCCTGCCGTAGAGCTGCCAAGATTCAAAATGACATCAACTTTGTCTTGCTCAACCTTGACCTCTCATTTGCATATTGTCAACTCCTTCAGGAATTTTGACTCATCACCTGCAACACACACAGGACAAACTGATGCTACTCAAATACGATCTCTGAGGATGAGCTGGTTGATATGATTTATGGTAAAATGAAGACCACGTCGTTAACCCCACGGCCCTATCTGTGTGTGTGTGTGTGTGTGTGTGTGTGTGTGTGTGTGTGCACAAGCAGCTGGCTTCTTGCCGACCTAGGCAGCTGATTTCTCTTAGTGGTGATACTTAAATAAAACAAAGTCCAGATGAATTCCAGGGGCAGTTAATTGAGCATATGACAGGAAGATAAAACATCAGTGACGCTCAACAATAGGCGGAAACATAATCGAGAATTTATGAGCCAAAGGAACATGTCCATCTGTGTGGTAATGTAATGCAGCAAGCTGTTGTGTAACAGCCTGACATACATGAAGCATCCGACCTGGACTTCTCTGTGTCCTTCAAAGCAGAAGGATGCTCTTCAGAGCAAGATTGATGGGGCTCACCTTAAGGCAAGGATAAGTCATCCACAGAAAGATCCAGACAGGTGTATTTCTTATAATTTTACTAAGGTAAACCATTTATTGTATATCAGAATCGGTTTTATTACCAAGTTTAAACATACGAGGAATCTGCTTCGGTATATGTGGGGCATTCAAAGACACAGCAAGAAGAATAGGTAGTAAAACTAAATAAAATAAAAATAGACTTTAATGACAACTCTTTAAAAAAACTATCTAAGACTACATGAACAATATTTTAATATGACAAATACTATATTCTGTATTTAAAGTGGAGAGCTGTGTAGTGTCCCGTCAATTATGTTAAGTGGTGTCATGTTTGTGATTGTCATGTTCATGTTAGTTTATGTTCCACTTCCTGTTTTATTTTGTACTCACCTTGTCTCATTCCAGGTCCCTTTACTTCCTGCTTTGGTTCTTTTTCCCGCCATCGTCAGTGCCTGCCCCGCCCCTGATTGTTTCCACCTGTGCCCACTTACCTCATGTATATATTGTCCTGTCTCTCCTTGTTAGTTGTCGGTTCGTCTTGTTCGTCTTCCCAAGAAGCCAGATCCAAGCCATCGCTTAAGAGAATCAGTGTTGTGCCTTTTTCCCTCCATGTGAGCGCTTTACTTTTGTCATTTTGTTATTTCCTCTAAAAGAGTGATGGAGAGGTTTTGGTCCCCTGCCAGAGGGGAGGGGGGTGAACAGTTTGTGTCCAGGGTGGGAGGGGTCGGTCCCCCCTCAGGGTCCTGGAGGTGTGCAGGTCGTGGAGGGATGGCAGATTGCAGCCGATCACCCTCTCTGCAGAGCGGAGGATACGCTGCAGCCCTGGTCCTTGGCTGTAGCGGCAGCGTACCAGATGGTGATGGAGGAGGTGAGGATGGACTCCATGATGGAGGTGTAGAATTTCACCATCATTTGTCTTTGGCAGGTCTTCAGCTGCCGTAGGAAGAACATCCTCTGTTGGGCTTTTTTGGTGAGGGAGCTGATTTTCTGCTCCCACTTGAGGTCTTGGCTGAGGATCGTGCCCAGGAAGCAGAAGGACTCCAACACTTCATCTCATGTCGCAAAGTGCAAGAGAATAACACCTGTTGTAGTTCTAAAGATCAACAATAGTTCAATACAATACAGCTTTATTTATAAGGCACTTTAAAACCTCCAGACTCAAGTGCTGTACAGTTAAATAAACAAATAAAACATACACAAAATCACACAGCTCAGCTCTCACACCATAAAACAATAGACAATTTAAAAGCAACAGTCTACAAGATGTCAATCGCGAAGGAGAAGAGGTGGGTTTTCAGAAGTGATTTACTCTAGAGGCCTGTCTTCAAATAAAACATCTGGATCACTATTTCCCCACACTGGCTAGTAAATGCTGTGCCTCGATGACGCACATTAAACGGAGCCAGCATTTACTAAGATGAGAAAAATGCCTGTTGTTAAAAAGATCCATAACTACAGTTACAAAACACCCTTTTTACTAACAGCACAAACAATGAACCCCCTGCTATTTTCTTCCAATGTCACAAAATTGTGCTCTTAAAAACATTCTAGGCCTTTTATTCGGCAGACATTTTGACTTGTCACAGGAAAAGCACACGATGGCTCTGAGCTATTCAAGCGAGACAGTGAGCAAGCATGCACAACACCCTGAAAACAATCAGCCATTTCAGCCATCATTCACCTTCTTATTTACATCCGTGCTTTTACTATGGTATGTATCGGGGGGCGGTGGTGGTGAAGTCGATAAGGACTTGGATTGGCAACTGGAAGGTCACCAGTTCAAGTCCCGGCAAGACAAAGTGCTACCGAGGTGTCCCTGAGCAAGGCACCGTTCCCTACACTGCTCCTCGGGCGCTGTTAAAAAATGGCAGCCCACTGCTCCTAACACTAGGATGGGTCAAATGCAGAGAAACAATTTCCCCCATGGGGATTAATAAAGTATATAAATAATATCAATATGTGACATGTCAAAATGTCTTCCGTGAAAAAGGTCTAGAGGTGTCCATAGGATGTTTCATACACCATTTGTATTAAGCTAGGCTAGTAAGCAAGCGTGGACTATTTTAGGGCAATGACACAACTTAATAACAATCATTTCAGGAGTTCCCAGGATTTATCACCCTTCGATTGGTATAATTTGTTACTTTATCATAAAATGTTTTTCGGACATATTGACCTGGAAAAGTTGCTGCAGATTATAAAAAATTGGCTTTAAGACTAGCTTACCCTGGATCCACTCACACACTGATACTGGACACAGCTTCACTGTGACAGTCGTCAAGGTCCCGCCCCTCTTCCTCTCCCCACAGCTTTCCCCCTCACTCTCCATCACTGAACTCCTGTGCTGCTCCTTCTCTCCTCTCACCGCTTCAATAAATCATCAGGACATCATCGTGTGTCTGGAGAGGTGTGTGTGTACATTTATGTGTGCCATATACAGTATGCAGTGCACTAAGAAGATAACATTGTGTGACCTGCATGTGGATGCACCCAGCCTGTGTTGCGTATATAAATATATGTGCTTGAGTATGTGTTTTGAGTGTGTCCTGTGGGTGTACACTTGCCCTCTCTCCCTTACCATTCTAGCTGAGTGTAATTACAACTGTCTCCGTGGGCACAGGGAACCTGCTCCTCCTCCTGCCATTGAAACAGAAAAAAGGGGAGGTTTACAACCACAATGGGGGAGAAAAAGCCAAAGAATTCAGCACAGTTGGATGCTGCACTTGTTGACCAGTAAGCAAAGCAACAGAGGTGGTCTACTGGTGATTAGACGTATCGAGGGATTGCTGCATCGGCCTCTGTTACGGTGTGCGGGACTACAGAGCTGCTGTTCCTGATCCTGATAGATGAGTTGTTGAGCTGAACCATGACACTGAGCAGCCAACCGTTAGCGTGTAGTTGGCGCAAACAATGCTGTAATTGCTTCTGCTGGGTGACAGTTTTATAGCAAACACATATGACGACAAGGGAGGGGGAGACATAATGTATTTCCTTGTGCGATACAGTCATCTGGGTGTAGTTTTCAGTTGACTGCCCACAGTTTCATTTCGCAGCTTTTGATTAAAAGGAAGTGAGTGAAAATAGAATCTGGTCACCAAGTCGCTCAATGGCAAGTATATCACTTTGATTTGACAAATCATTACATTTTAAAGCCTGGAGCTGTCTTGTGGTAGGGCCCTTGGAAACAGCTCAATTGGGCCACAGAAACAGTAAATATCTCCAATTTCATATTTGCTCAATAGCTCTGTGCTCCCTGAATAATTTGTGAGGCACCTCAAAGTACTTTGCATGAAGATATAGTAATTCATTCTTAAAGAGGTCCTCTTTTCGGCTCATTTTCATGACGAATAGGAGTTGGACTGGATTATATGTTTTCTTCTCTCTGCACTGGACCACTAGCAAAACACAACAAAGGCTACATTTGTATTCCTCACTCGTAAATCACCCCCACGATTTCAAAGAGAGAACAAAGGATATGGCCGGTGTAGAGGAAACTTCTGTGTAACAACGCAGTGGGAGTCACCGACTCAGGAAGGAGACACGGTAGGAGCAGTAGCTTTGATGTCAAACACTGATGGTTTATTTGGAGTTACGGCCGGAGGATTCACAGCAACAAGTCCAAGAGCCAGAGCCAGAGGTTCTGACTTCACGGTAGAGTTGCCACGTCAATTCTGGAGAGCCTCTCTCGTTGCTAGCCCATTTAACTGGTTCCACAGAGAGTCATCAACATGTTTTGATAAGATAGCTTTAGATAGTTTGGGCACACTAAGTTACCAGCTTCCGCCACTTATGGCCTTGGATATGTCATGCCCTGGAGTCCTCAGACAACAGAGAAGGAAGTGTCCCAGTGTACCCACAATACAGACCATCTGTGACCCAGTATTGACCGGTCACAGAATGGGAACAATAACATTATTGGCTGAAGCAGCCTGTGTCCTTAAAGGAGGTAAACAGACGTCAAGGTTTGTCCTGTATGTCGCATCTTGGCGTCTATGATAATTATTTCCCTAACAGCCGGCACAGCAAGCATCTCTCCCTCGCTATCTTTATCTCATGGGAGTCCACAGAACTATTTAAATAAATAACAACCATACTGTACTGCATACTATTCTTCCTATTTCTGCAGTTAGTGAATGTGTTCATTTAAATCTTGAGAGAAATTAAACATTTAACCAAACGGTTCCTCATCAAATGCTGTCAAACACTCAGGTTCGGGGACTTCCTTAGGATATTCAAGACTTTTCTGCATCATGTGCAAAGTAGCAATAACAGTATACAGCTCCAGGATTCACATTGTTTTATATACTGCCCTAAGATGGTTAGCCACAGAGGCCGTGGTGGTTTGGCTGTTTCATTGATGGTGGCTCTCTTGTAACACAGCCATATTTCTAACTGCAAAGCCATCCTGCCAACCTCTCATTTACTGTGGACAATAATCGATGTGAAACAACGCAGGGGGAGCTCTGAGCGCTGCAGGTAACAGGTCTGGGAGAAGAGGGTTGAGGGAGGAGAGTCCTCCAGCATGGCCATCTGTTCATGTGTAATTACAGCTTTGGGTCTCAGTAGGATTGCTCTGTGCTCAGTACGAGTCCCCGGCCCCCTGACCACCCTACAGCCTGGCTGAGAGGTAAATACTGGATCTGGCTTCTGCACTGCAGCTTACATAGTTTTTAAGTCAGGAATGAGCTGTTAAATACCTCTGTAGCTGACTGGATTTGAACAGGAGGAAAATCAGGCAGTGTATTATTTAAGACAAGAGGTAATGTCTTTTCAAATAGCTTTATAGGCTTTTTTCCTGACAAGTTATATGAAAAATAGCTTATTTACAGTTTCTACCCACTAACCATTATAATACCCTCTGGTAATTTCATGGACGACCAGCCTGTATGTTTGTAAAGCCACATCAAATTCTGTATAGCACGAGAGCTGTCAAACATATTAAATGCAAATTACATGTGGAGAGGCTTGTGTGCATGTGCTGCCTCATAAATCCACCAAGCCGTGTGACAAAGCTTCATAGAGTGCAACATAATCTTATGTGCAGGCACTCAGCCATAGCTGTTGCACGGTGACAGTTTTTCTATTAATCATAATCACTGGAACAGCACCACCTTTCACATTTCCTTCACACAATGTATTCAAATTGCCAATTGGTTCAATGGCTATTGTTTTTTTGCATATGTGCATGTCTGTGTACAGAGTTAAGTGTATGTCTATACGCGTAGTGTGTTTGTGCAGCATGACATTTGGGATTCAGGCAGGTTGTCTGACTGCAAATATCAGCAGTGACAGTTTAAGTTGTACAACTTCCTTTGGCTACATCCCCCACCCCGACCTCCTATAACCAGGTGGGGAACTACTGCCCAGTTGGAAGGCGTCTGTGTCACGATCTGTCTGTGTTGTGTTTTGTCTTGTCCTATCTTTGGTTTCCTGTTTTATTTTGGAAAAGTGTTCACCCCCCCGTTCCTGCCTGTTGCTTTCTGTCTGTTTCCCCTCCCTGATTACCCGATTGTGTTCACCTGGTGCCCCTGTGTTTTCTCCTCCCTCCTCACCTGTCTCTTGTTTGTTTGATTAGTCATGTGCAGTGGTGTAGTGGGGATGCTATTTTAATTAGGTCATCCCAAACAATGCCACACAAGTGCGCAGTGCACTCACAAAACGGGCAGACAGGTCCACAGAAACTACCGGTATGCTTAGTCCTACTTTAGTTACTGTACTGCAAAAAGCAGACGGCGCTGCGCTCAACACACACAGACTCAAAACCATGGACACACTGGCACATAAGTTACATAAACAATTTATAGGCCTAAATTGCATAAGCTACAGTATTGCAACCAAGCACAGTGCTGCCTCTCTCTCTCTCTCTCTCTCTCTCTCTCTCTCTCTCTCTCTCTCTCTCTCTCTCTCTCTCTCTCTCTCTCTCTCTCTCTCCACTTTCAAAATCTATTTAAAACTCATAACAAA